ATTTTTTCTGACAGTGTGAACAGGTCACGCAGACCTGATCTGTTCCAGTTCGGATTTGAGCCACTTTCATATGTGGTCCAAATCAGATCCAAGTCTGATTGTTTGAAATCCGACCTCATCTGGACGTCAGATCGAAGTTCATGTGATCTAAAGCGACCGTGACCACAGTTCTGCTCTAGGTGGAGCGGCGGTGAACGAAAAGATCCACAAAAACCAGAATTAAAATCCGTGTTTGGTTTGTTTTTCATTATTTTCTTTAAAAACCAAATCAGAAAAACCAAAAACACAGAAACAGAAAATTCAAAAATGTGCAGTTTCACTGTATTGGTGGGGTCCGGGGGGGTCCGGGAACCAGTCAGTATCTGGTGTGACCACCATTTGCCTCAGGGAGCGTGCCGACTGCACGCTCCCTCAAAACTTGCAACATCTGTGGCGTTGTGCTGTGTGATGGAACTGCACATTTTGGAGTGGCCTTTTATTGTGACCAGCCTAATGCCTTTTTTGTGGCCGGCCTAATTGTGGCCAGCCCTAAGGCCTTTTATTGTGGCCGGCCTAAGGCCTTTTATTGTGGCCAGCCTAATTTTGGCCAGCCTAGGCCTTTTGTTGTGGCCAGCCTAGGGCCTTTTGTTGTGGCCAGCCTAAGGCACACCTGTGCAATCCCCATGCTGTCTGATCAGCATCTTGATATGCCACACCTGTGAGGTGGATGGATTATCTGGGCAAAGGAGAAGTGCTCACTAACACAGATTGTGGCAGATTTGTGAACAATATTTGAGAGAATAGGCCTTTTGTGTACACAGAGAAAGTCTTAGATCTTTGAGTTCAGCTCATGAATGGGGACAAAAACAAAAGTGTTGCCTTTGTAATTTTGATCAGTGTTTGAATCTGTGTTGATAAATTGTTTGAAATAAGATGCTTGCCTTTGGTGTGGGAGACCTGGGTTTTATTCCCACTGTGAGACGTCCACCATTGTGTTCCTGAGCAAGACACTTAACCCCTAGTTGCTGCAGAGTGTGCGACCTCTGACATGTATAGCAATTGTAAGTCGCTTTGGATAAAAGCGTCAGCTAAATGAATAATGTAAAAAATGATCCAGATCTCCATCAAAACCTTTAAACAAGGTTCAGCTCTGCCATGTTTTTGTTTGTGTTTGTTCAGAGCGAGGCGGCAGGTGAGCCGGACACCGGCGATCACCTGAGCGTGTCGCCGAGCTGCCAGAGAGAGCGGGACAGGAAGTACAGATGCAAATTTGATAGAGGTGGTCGATCTGTTGGACGAGACGGACTGACGGACAACTCGTCTGACGAGGAGCGAGTCGTCACCAAGACAACCGGCGTCCTCCCCGTCACTGACGTACGAAAAGATCCTTTTCAAAAACACATAAATATTCAGAATATAAATGAAACAATAATTTAAGAAATTATAGAAACTCAACTTTTTCTCCCTATTTAATTTTAGAACCGAGGAGTTTATTTTTATTTCATTGTAAAAATATTTTTTGATGTTATGAGAGAAAAGTGATAATAAATAAAAAGGTTTTGATTGTGTGTAAATATGAATGTGATGTTAAGAGCGAGCTGTGATTGGACACAGACCAACGTGTCATCATGGCGTCTCTTGTATTTGTGCCAGGCGGCTCTTGACGAGGTTCTGAGCGTTGACGTGGAGACGGTGGAGGAGGAGAGCGGTCAGCTGAAGGCGGCTCAGAGGACGCAGCCAAGCATCCCAGAGTAAGACCTGATTCACTTCCTGTCTGATCAGCCTGAGGTCATCATGACATCACTGAAATGGTTGTGTCTGTGGCGCTGCCTGAAAATCCGTTTTATTTTGTTTGTTCGTTATGTTCAGTTCATCGGTACCTAAAAAACGAAGAGGGATGTTTTTGAACAGATACCGATTTTGATATTTGAGGATTTTAAAATCCGATAATCTCCTTTTTTTTTTTTTTTTGTCAGAAACACAAAATCGTAAACAAAGAGTATCTCTAACGTGTGTTAACACGACGTCATTCAGTTAAAAAATAAACGTTGCAGCTGATCATGTCAGCTTTGTGGTGGATTTGTGCTGCAGAGCGCCCTCTGGTGGCCAAACTACACATGGATAACACTCAGAACGTGATTAAAAGGATCTGTCTCCTTGTTCCTTTCATTTATCTGCTGTTATAAACACAGATACCGTTTGATCTTCACTTAGCTCACATCGGTACCATCTCTCTGTTGGAACTTGTATTTGAACGTCACCGTCTCGCACTGAAGTGCAACTTCACTTTCAATTTCACTTCACATTTTAACATGTCCCTTTTTTCTTTATCCAGTTTCCAGCTGCCGTCACATTTATCCTGCTTTTGTACATTTTTGTTTTGCTGTTTGTTGCAGTTAATCGACAGTTTAATTGCACAAAATATAGATGCATCTAAACTGGTGCCGGGCAACGATTAAAATCTTTAATGGCAATTAATCTCATGGTTATGCCCAAAATGGAATGATGAATCCTAAAGTAGTGCTTTGGCACTTTTAATTTAAGTGTACTGCTGTATACACTAAAGTGCAGTAACATATGGTTTGCTTTAAACAGATTTTTCCCTTTACACAGCAGCTATAAAATATTTCCTGTAAATCTGAACTTAAACATCAATGTGATCAAATCAAAAGTTAAACCGATGCTGTCGGGCCTTACCTTTTATCCAGTCTGCTGAAGCCCCCCAGCTAATCATTCAATTCAGAGTAACAGTCACTTATAGAAACACCTGATCAGACAGACAGCAGTTTGTAGCTGATCAGCCTCATTAAAACGCCTCGATAATTTATTTTATTTTGAGGTTTTCCTGCTGCTGTGCAAACATTTTGTTATTTCAGAAAATATACATTAATACTGATCCTGTTCTGAATGTAATAACTAAGTGTTGATAAGAGTACTCGCCCTGACCTTTGACCTCTTCTCACTGTTATAATTTGAAAAGTGAAGAGATTAAAGTTTGAGTTCATTATTTTTATCTCTTAATGATTTTAATGAGAAAGTTTTAAAGCCAGCGTTTGAAACTGTCTCATGGCTCATAAATATTTAAGTCAAAGAGCAAATCAGGGTGACGGAGTTCAGTAAAACACAGGTGAGGTGAGGGGACACAGGTGAGGTGTGGGGACACACGGGTGAGGTGAGGGGACACAGGTGAGGGGACACAGGTGAGGTGAGGGGACACACAGGTGAGGGGACACAGGTGAGGTGAGGACACACACAGGTGAGGACACACAGGTGAGGTGAGGGGACACAGGTGAGGACACACAGGTGAGGTGAGGGGACACAGGTGAGGATAAACTGCCACGTTGTCTGTTTTCTGTGAACAGAAGCAGTCCAGGTGTGAAGAAGGTGGTCGTTCCTCGGAGCGTCACAGCCGCCTTCAAACTTCTCAGTTCAGTCATGAACACCAAAAAGTATCCAAAGACAGTTCTGCTGAAGCAGGTAAGAAGCTACAGGATGCAAATACATCCATGCATGGACGCTTTGACTAAAGGGAAACAACGGGCTCAAGTTGCCGACACAGCCGGTACAAAAGAAGCCGTGAGGTCTCCCTTCGGTCTGTGGATAACCGTTTTGAAGCCTCCATTTTGGCCGTCGCCATCTTGGTTTTTAGAAACAAGGCGTGACCATATTTGGACAAGAGGGTGGAGCTAGCTAGCTTGGTAGCAAGGTGCGTCTGTAATTCACGTTAGCTGTGATGTTAGCTGGGATGTTAGCTGGGATGCTAATTTTAGCTAGTGACAAACAGGCTTAAAACAAAACGTACTTCCTGAAAATGAGCAGCCGACTCCTGATAAGCTTTTCAGCGGCACTAGTTAGATGTACACAGAACAGCGGATACGAGTTGCCTCTGTCCTGATTGACAGGTCGCCAAATCAGCTTGTAGCCCCGCCCTAAAGCCTCCCCTGCTTCCTGGTCTCTGTTCCTCTAAATGGGACCATAATTTACTAAATGAACATCATGCTGTGTTGAAGAAGACTTGAAACTAGCGACTGAGACCAGAAACTCATCAGGAAAGTGTTTACTGAGGGAATAAATCAGCAGAGAAGCAGAAACATTTTCTCACAGACTTCTATACAATCACACTTCTTTCTGCAGGAGTCGCCCCCTGCTGGCCGCTAGAGAGGACGCAGGTTTAAGTCGCCCCCTGCTGGCTGCTAGAGAGGACGCAGGTTTAAGTCGCCCCCTGCTGGCCGTTAGAGAGGACGCAGGTTTAAGTCGCCCCCTGCTGGCCGCTAGAGAGGACGCAGGTTTAAGTCGCCCCCTGCTGGCTGTTAGAGAGGACGCAGGTTTAAGTCGCCCCCTGCTGGCTGTTAGAGAGGACGCAGGTTTAAGTCGCCCCCTGCTGGCTGCTAGAGAGGACGCAGGTTTAAGTCGCCCCCTGCTGGCTGTTAGAGAGGACGCAGGTTTAAGTCGCCCCCTGCTGGCTGCTAGAGAGGACGCAGGTTTAAGTCGCCCCCTGCTGGCTGTTAGAGAGGACGCAGGTTTAAGTCGCCCCCTGCTGGCTGCTAGAGAGGACGCAGGTTTAAGGCGCCCCCTGCTGGCTGTTAGAGAGGACGCAGGTTTAAGTCGCCCCCTGCTGGCCGCTAGAGAGGACGCAGGTTTAAGTCGCCCCCTGCAGGCTGCTAGAGAGGACGCAGGTTTAAGTCGCCCCCTGCTGGCCGCTAGAGAGGACGCAGGTTTAAGTCGCCCCCTGCGGGCTGCTAGAGAGGACGCAGGTTTAAGGCGCCCCCTGCTGGCTGCTAGAGAGGACGCAGGTTTAAGTCGCCCCCTGCTGGCTGCTAGAGAGGACGCAGGTTTAAGTCGCCCCCCCTGCTGGCTGCTAGAGAGGACGCAGGTTTAAGTCGCCCCCTGCTGGCTGCTAGAGAGGACGCAGGTTTAAGTCGCCCCCTGCTGGCTGTTAGAGAGGACGCAGGTTTAAGTCGCCCCATGCTGGCTGTTAGAGAGGACGCAGGTTTAAGTCGCCCCCTGCTGGCTGCTAGAGAGGACGCAGGTTTAAGTCGCCCCCTGCTGGCCGCTAGAGAGGACGCAGGTTTAAGTCGCCCCCTGCTGGCTGTTAGAGAGGACGCAGGTTTAAGTCGCCCCCTGCTGGCTGCTAGAGAGGACGCAGGTTTAAGGCGCCCCCTGCTGGCCGCTAGAGAGGACGCAGGTTTAAGTCGCCCCCTGCTGGCTGTTAGAGAGGACGCAGGTTTAAGTCGCCCCCTGCTGGCTGCTAGAGAGGACGCAGGTTTAAGTCGCCCCCTGCGGGCTGCTGGAGAGGACGCAGGTTTAAGGCTTCACTTTCAGACCTGGAGGTTCCTGTTTGGTTGTAGCACACAGCATAACTCAGTGGCTGTATTTGATACCGCCTACTATACTATTAGTACGTACTGATTTGGCCCATATGTAGTATGCAAACAAAAGCAAAATCTGCAGTATGGCAAAAATGCTCGGATGGCGTACTGATTCGGGAAAATCTCCAGTATGCCTTGGACCAGTCTACCTCGCGTACTGTGGCCCATAATGTAAAGCGCTAGAACTGTAACAACAACAGAACTTGTTTTACAATTTTCAAATGCTGTTTCATCACTAAATCCACTTCTAACAAGTTTGGAAGCGAGAAATCAACTGTGTAGATTTTAAATATCAGCAGTTTTAGGGAAATTGTTGGCGAATCGAGAATGTGCTTGAACATTTTCGGTGTTCAGAAGCTCCGCAAATGCAGCGGGGGAAGCTAACGAGCCGGCCCGCGGGGCAACAACGTGAGAGTACAGATCTGCAGCTGTGAGACAGTTTAAATCTTCGTACCGGTGTTATTCTGTCATTACAGTCTGAGTAATGTTGAAACGTTAAATAAAGAGACATCTGGCTCGTGATGGGCAGGCTTGTGTAAGGTAGAAGCACTTTGATACAAAAATAAACAACAATAGCAGTATGAAAGGGGACTGTTTATTATCATTAATCTAAATAGACCTTACATTGTTGTGTTTTAGTACTTTCTTTTTATTTGCTTTTATCTTATATAATTCTTATTTATGCACCAATATACCGAAGCAAACATCTGCTACAGATCTCTGTCTGTACTCTGATTGGTTTTTTCATTACTAAATGCCTTTTAAAAATATGTTATTTAAAGAAGAATAAATTCACAGTACACACACAGTAATCAAATTTAATATTCTGTTTTACAGCAGCAAAGTAACAATATGAAATCAGTGTCTCACTGGAAACAGCTCCACTTACTTCCAGTAACGGGCGGAGTTACGGTCACCTGGTGAAATCTGCTCTCCGCTCACTGAGCCCCTCCCCTCCTGTCTCAGCTGCAGCGTGGAGGCTCGCTCTTCTATTGGCTACTGAAAATGATTGTTCAGGCCTTTAACTGTGAGCCGGTTTGGTAAGCTGTCTTTGTGTTTCAGGCTCACAAGGAGATCCAGACTCTGCAGAACGAGGCGGCGAGACTGAAGAGTCTGAAGATCTGTCTGAACCAGCAGAGGAACGCCTACATCAGAGAGATCGCCCGAAGATCAGGTGAGGAGGAGGAGGAGGATGAAGCTGTAGGAGTCTCACGTCAGCTAAAACCCAGGTGAGATTTAACCCGAGCTGTTTGTGTCTGCAGGTAAAAGTGAGCGGAGGATCATGAGGACGCTGCAGCACCCGGCATCCAAACAGAAGAAGGTGGGGAAGCGGGAGAGACACCGTGCAGCCAATCACGTGCCGGCAGGAGACACGATCGATGATGACATTGTAATCATATCCTCCGACCTGCCGCAGCAAACTCCACAAGCTCCTCCCACTCTTGTTTCTGCCCCGCCCACCACCACACCTTCAGCCACACCTGTCCAAACACCGGTCCAGCAGCCTCAGAACAACAGTCAGAAGGTCTTGCAGGTGACTCCTCCCGGTGCATCCCCCAATGCATTAGCGGGGAGGGACAGGCCGAGGACTATCCCCAACATCCTGTCCCGCAGTAAGAATCCAGCTCCGCTGTCGCCCCTGCTCACAAAGACTCACAGCGAGGGTAAGTCTGGAGGAGGACTGAACTGGAGATGTAGTGATTGATTATTGATCTGGTGACAACAGGTCTTGACAACACCTGACGCTAACTGACCAACTAACTAACTTTGAATTGCCCCTGGAGGTTGTTCCACTGGTGTGTGAATGGTGAATGCGATGGAGTGTAACAGCGATTTGAGTGGGTGCAAAGACCAGAAAGGCGCTGTACAAATACAGAACATTTACTAATTAACTCTCTGACTAACTGACCCACTAATGTATAATTTATACTTCTGCATCGAATCGACGGCGTAGCCTCTGCCTTAAGCTCTGTGATTGGTCGGCTGGCTAGCCTCGCAATGCCTCTGAGCCGACAGGAAGTGCTTAGGAGTAAATTTTACTGGCCAATCCTGCGGCTGGAACACGGAGGATCGATATATTTGAGCATCACAACTGGAGCGAAAGGACTCGTTTCACTATCACACTGTGATCCATTCGGTCGAGAACATTTGAAAAGGCTACACAAGCCGCACGTTCACAATTTTACTGCCATTCACGTTAGCGGAGCGCTAAACCAGAAGTTAGCCTGCTCGGCTGGCAACAGTCAACACAGTGGACGCTGTAGCGCCAACGCCAGCTAGCGTTTGTCACTGCAGAATGATGGAGACACCAGTGCACAAGTACAAAACGTGCGTAGCAACACACGTAGGAGTAAAAATCAAGCTTAACCAACTTACATTTATTCATTTAGCTGACGTTCTTATCCAAAGCAACTTATAGTTAGAGGTCGCACGCCTCTGGAGCAACAAGGGGTTAAGTGTCTTGCTCAGGGACACAATGGTGGATGGGTCACAGTAGGGGGTTGAACCCGGGTCTCTCACACCAAAGGCAGGCATCGTATCCATTGCGCCATCACCACCCCTTACTGTTGTCTTTGTGTTGATTTCTTTCATGTCTTCTTTTGTTTTTCTAGAGTTGCCTTCTTTTCAGGCTTTGGTTCCGGCTGATGTTCTATCCCTTGTCAGCGCCACATTGCCAGGGCAGCCGGTCCTGACCCTGAGCCCGATAATGACTGGGCCGACGGTTCTACAGACGTCTCCTACACCAGGTACTGACCGCTCACTGTCACTCTGTTTCCACCCTGCTTCAACATCCTCTTATTTTGAAGTAAAACATGTTCTTCCTGTCTGTAGGCTTGGCCTCAGTCACCCTCAACTTCCCCAGTCTGACCAATCAGCAGATCCATCTCACCTCACTGCCCCACCCCCCAACCGGTAAGAACTGCAGTAGCTCCGCCCCCCACAATGTCACTAACCTCTCGGGTAACTAAACCAACTACATAACCATTGTCACGCGTAACAAAACTCACCTCACAGGTAAATAAACTAACCAACCAACCAACCAAATGAAAAAAAGCTGGCTCCTCTTTATAGAATTTTGGGATTTATTTTAATAAGCTATTTATCATTAGAGGAGTTGTACTTTGTGCCCGTCCTTGGGATGTAGTTTGACCCTTGCTAACCAACGAAACCAATGTCACAGTAACTGAATTAACCTAATAGCTAAACACTAACATCAGATGTTACTTAACGAATTAACTAAACATTCTCACAGTTAACTGAACTAACTGACCAATCTCCCTTGTAACTAAACTAATTAACTACCCGACAAACGATACACTATAACCTCACATTTCTAAACCAATGAAGTCCTGAACTAACTAACCAACTTTATGCCTAATGAAGCTGTCTAGCCAATGAACTTACTAATCTTAACGGATTGTCTAACTTAACTTACGGACACAATAGCTAACTAAGTTTGAGCTCAACTAACTGATCATTTAACTGAATTACTTGACGACTGAATGACCCACTAACAGACCCATCGCAAACTTGCTCACTAACTCACCAACTAACTCACTAACTCACCAACTGACCAGCTGACTGACTCACCAACTAACTGACTGACTTACCAACTAACTGACTAACTCACCAACTAACTCACCAACTGACCAGCTGACTTACTCACCAACTAACTGTCTGACTTACCAACTAACTGTCTGACTCACCAAATAACTGACTAACTTACCAACTAACTAGCGGACTAACTTACCAACTAACTAGCGGACTAACTCACCAACTAACTCGCTACCTCACCCACTGACTCACCAGCTAACTCGCTAACTCACCAACTAACTAGTGGACTAACTTACCAATTAACTGACTCACCAACTAACTAGCGGACTAACTCACCAACTAACTAGCGGACTAACTCACCAACTAACTAGTGGACTAACTCACCAACTAACTAGCGGACTAACTCACCAACTAACTAGCGGACTAACTCACCAACTAACTAGCGGACTAACTCACCAACTAACTAGCGGACTAACTCACCAACTAACTAGCGGACTAACTCACCAACTAACTAGCGGACTAACTAACTAACTGACGGACTCACCAACTAACTGACTTACTGACCAAATATTGGCTGACTAACTCATTAACTTGTTTTCTGATCTCATGATTAAAATATTTTACATCAGCTGATTTTTTTTTATCGTTTACAGCCTCAAACCTCAACAGTCTGCTGCCGGTTCAACCATCGACTCCACAACAACAAACACAACCAAAACAACAACAGCAACCACAACAACAACTACAACAACCACCCCCTCCTCCCCAGCTGCAGCAGCAGCAGGAGGTCCTAGCAGGTCAGACTCCTGCTCCGGTGGTCTCTGGATCTGATCTTGTCTCAGACCAGATCAAAGACCAGCACCAGCCTCCGTCCCAGGCTGGCACCAAGCTGGAGTCCCCCCCCTCCTCCTCGTCTCCACCCTCTACTCACGGCTCGTCGTCCTCGCCGTGCCCAGATCCGAGCATTGGTCGTCGGGTCACAGCGGCGGGGCCTCTGAGGGCGGAGACCAGACAGGACGCTGACCACGAGAGTCTGACCTCCCTCCTCAACGAGATCGTCTTCCTTAACCAGCAGACTGTCGCCACGCTGAAACCATCCTCTGAGGCGGGGCAATTGGAGGAAGCTGCCGCGGTGAGCGGAGCGGAGGAGCAGGGACACGCCCCCCACAGCCCCTGGCTCCTGCAACTGGACTCGGACTCTGATGACGCTCTTTCCACGGAGATGACACAGAGCGAACCCCAGCCTGGACCTGCCAATGGTAAAGGTGGCGCACTGGCTCCGCCCCCTCTGCTGCAGATGAAGGTGGGCGGGGCCAAGGTGACGGTTCCCGCCAGCAGTGATGGAGCAGCAGGAGGGGAAGGAGAAGGAATAGGGAGAGGGGCGAAGAGAGGGGGAGGAGTGGCCTGGAGGCCGATGCCGAGGCTGGTTCCCCTGGGGCTGAGAGGAAACCCACCCAGCTGACTGATGATGTCACAGCGGGCTGCGAATCAGCTGACGTCACCGAGCACGTGACTCTGATGACGTCGCAGCTGACCTCATTGGTCATCTGCAGGCAGCTCTCTGATTGGCTGTTTGAGTTCTGCCTCTTTCCTGAGAAGTTTTCCACATTTGAGTTTGTGTCAAATCATTTCCTTCGAAACAGAAACACATGACACCCGAGGGCCAATCAGAAGCCCTGCTGTTGCCTTTCCTCCATGTTTACAGACGATCAGAGATTATGTTCAGAAAAGCCTTTTATTTATTTAAAGAAAATAAAAACACCAGCGAGCTCCAGGATTGGTTGTTTCTTTCAGACGGCCAACCGACGACGTGAGCTGGACGCTTGTTGTTTTATTTGTCTATTTCCTGCTTTTTTACTTAAGTATTACGACACTATTCCTGACACAGCACTCCCAGGTTTTATTTACTTGGTCATTTCTCTGAACGGAAACTCTTCAGCTCCGTCCTCTCAGCTTTCAGTCGACGCTCCGTCTGAAGGCGGCGGCGTCCAGCCGTTCCCGTAGGAAGATTGATTGTCACCAGAAGAAATTTGAGTCCCGTGTTGTCAGTCATAAGCTACCTTTTATTAACATGCTGTTTTTTAGTGCGTCACAGGCGCCAATTTCAAGAACAAAGTCTGAAACACTACAAGACCGTAATCGCACAGTTTTTCAGGCGGTCACAGTATTTCAAGAGTAAAATCAGTCCGTAAGCGTCTCAACAAAATCATCTTTCTTTTACCCGTAGACTGTCACCGCGTGCAAACCATAGCTGGATGTCAAAAAATTTGTGAAAAAAGTCTTCGCATTTGACGAAATCATGGCTTTTTTTCCCTCAAAATGTTGTTTTTTTCCTGACATGTGACCCCGACACTCACAGCTGTGCATGTGGACGGCCGACAACACGACGCTGCGTTTTTACATTTGGAGGATTTGAAAGATTAAAGTGGTTTGAGTTTCCTGGCAGGACGTCGTCGACACTCGGCTCGTGTTTGGCTTGATTTTTAAAATGAAATAAGGAATCTTTGGGAGAATAAACAGAACCTGAAGTTCAGTCGGGGGTAGAAGAGTTCAGTTCTTTTTATTTAAAACAATAGAAACACTAAGAAGACGGCAGCTTGTGTCTCACCTGGACTCACCTGTACATGCTCAGTGTTTTAAAGCAGCAGTTAGAAGTGCTGTTGGACGAAGCTGCTTCTCTCTGTATCCAGTTGTGTTGATGTTTGTACAGTGTACAGTCGTTCTGCTGAGTTTGTTTTTCCTAAATTTGTATTTTTGTACGTGTTTAAGAACCTCTGATGTAAATAATTGTTGCCCGAAAGGCCTGAAGATGCCTCGCGATATAACACACTAAATAAAGTTTGAAAATGGACTTCGGACTCCTGGTGTGGTTTGTAGACGATTCAGTTAGTCCAAGACTTAGTGTTGTTATAATTTGACCTTTTTAACTTTTTGAACTGTATTAACCAAGAGATGAAAGATTAATCTTAATAATGACCAGTGACAGTGACAGACAGAAAGAGTTTGTTCTTTTAAATCAAAGACTTTTTACTAAATTAAATTTAAGGCTTCAGCTTGTTTTTATTTTCTAACTCTTTAAATGTCTTTTTCTTTTTCTTTTGTTGCTTCATGTTTAAAACACTTTGGATTGCCTTGTTGTTAAACCCGCCTCCTGCCGCCGGGCGGCGCTGCTGCGTCACTTTGCGGTCACTGCAGCGTGGAGGCGTCAGAGCAGCGTCAATCTGAGTCACGCACGACGACACCGGAAGTGAGGAGTCTTTACCGTCAAAGTAAAAGCAAGGTACTGGCAAACACAAAGGCTGCTTGCCTGCCTTTGTGTTTGCCAGTACCTTGCTGTTGTGGAAGTACAGAGATAATTTACTGAAGTTAAAGTAATTATATAATAATTAGTATATACAAGTCCTGCATTCAACATGTACTGCTGTGAAAGTACTTGTGTAGCATCAAAATAATATTCTCAAGTATTAAATTGTACTGAAGAAAGCAAAAATATGGTGGAATAAAATTTCAGTGTTTACATACAGATTATATTATTGGATTATTATAACTGTTAATGTTATTTATTTACATTTAAAACAAAATGATTTGTACAGAACAGGAAGAAATAAACATCGACCCTACCGCACTGAAATCACGTAACTAACTACAGCTGTAGGTAAACGTAGAGGAAATGTATGGTATTTAAGTCTTACTGATGAACTGCACCTTGTAGTGTAATATACCCTCAATATATTGGGAATATTACACTACACTATTTATGACACTTCTGATAATACTGTAAATATCCACATTATATTCTTAGATTTTCATACTTTCTTATATTGTCTACTGTTAAGTCTGTTCCTACTCCCTCATGCCCAACCCTTTGTAAGCGAGTATCTGTACCAGAATTTCTCCTGGGGATAAGTGAAGGATTCTGATTCTGGTAGTGGGTCAAAATAAGGTAAATGTACTCGTTACTTTCCCTCTGATTATAACATATACTACAGTACCACACTTTGGACCAACTGTCTTTAATGAAACTTGTATTATTTATTTAAAAAGGTCCTCGCTGATTTATTCTGAAAACCCTGACCGGAAGTGTTTGTGTCATTGCCGCGTGCGGTCTTGACGCTGGCGGTGTAGTCCGGGTCCTGGTCGTGTTGGAGCCGCTTCGTGTCTTCGCTGCGGCGGAGAAATAAGATGCGGAGCAGCAGCAGCGGAACCGGAGCCCGTGACCCGGATCAGACCAGAACCAGTACCGGAGCCAGGCTCGCTGAACCCTCCGGCCCGGCTCGGCCCGCAGACGGCATGACGGCAGCGGCCGCGGAGGAGAGCGCGACACAGAGAGGCTCCAGCCGCTGAGAGACGCAGCTAGCCGGGCAGCTAACGGCGCGATGGCCGCGGAGGGAAGCGGCACGATCCGCAGCCGCATCAAGAACCTGCTGCGCTCCCCGTCCATCAAACTGCGCAGGCGGAGCGGCGCCGCGCGGCACAAAGAGGACCTCAGCGACAAGGTGCGCACGCGCTTCAACACGCGCAGACACACACACAGACTAATGAAAGGACAGCTTTATTTATTCTTAATTTGAATGAGCCTCATTAGGCTCTGTGATGATCAGCTGGTATCTAAAATAATTCAAATATGTTTAATAGGGACATAAACACGTGACTTCCTGCCAGCAGGTTCTTCTAAAAATAAAAGTTTCAGACAAGAAGTGAAGAAGAAATGTCTCTAAATGTTATGTAACACACACACAGTAACACACACACAGTACATTACATTTAGCTTTTATCTAAAGCGACTTAAAATTGCTATACATGTCAGAGGTCAGAGGTCGCACGCCTCTGGAGCAACGAGGGGTTAAGTGTCTTGCTCAGGGACACAATGGTGGATGTCTCACAGTGGGAATCGAACCCAGGTCTCCCACACCAAAAGCAAACATCTTATCTATGTTCTATCTTATCTGTAACACACACACAGTAACACACGCACACTAACACACTGTAACACACACACCAGTAACACACTGTAACACACGCACTGTAACACACGCACACTAACACACTGTAACACACACACTAACACACTGTAACACACACACACAGTAACACACTGTAACACACACACTGTAACACACGCACTGTAACACACGCACACTAACACACTGTAACACACACACTGTAACACACGCACTGTAACACACACACTGTAACACACGCACTGTAACACACGCACTGTAACACACACACTGTAACACACGCACTGTAACACACGCACTGTAACACACGCACTGTAACACACGCACTGTAACACACTGTAACACACACACACACAGTAACACACTGTAACACACGCACTGTAACACACGCACACTAACACACTGTAACACACACACACTAACACACTGTAACACACACACACTAACACACTGTAACACACACACACAGTAACACACTGTAACACACACACTGTAACACACGCACTGTAACACACACACTGTAACACACGCACTGTAACACACGCACACTAACACACTGTAACACACACACACAGTAACACACTGTAACACACGCACTGTAACACACACACACTAACACACTGTAACACACACACACACTAACACACTGTAACACACACACACAGTAACACACTGTAACACACACACAGTAACACACTGTAACACCACACACTAACACTGTAACACACACACACAGTAACACACTGTAACACACACACAGTAACACACTGTAACACACCACACTAACACACTGTAACACACACACTAACACACTGTAACACACACACACTGTAACACACGCACTGTAACACACACACAGTAACACACTGTAACACACACACACAGTAACACACGCACTGTAACACACGCACACTAACACACTGTAACACACACACTAACACACTGTAACACACACACACTAACACACTGTAACACACACACACAGTAACACACTGTAACACACACACTGTAACACACGCACTGTAACACACGCACACTAACACACTGTAACACACACACTGTAACACACGCACACAGTAACACACTGTAACACACACACAGTAACACACTGTAACACACACACTGTAACACACGCACTGTAACACACGCACACTAACACACTGTAACACACACACACTAACACACTGTAACACACACACAGTAACACACTGTAACACACGCACTGTAACACACACACACTAACACACTGTAACACACACACACTAACACACTGTAACACACACACACAGTAACACACTGTAACACACACCACACTAACACACTGTACACACACGCACACTAACACACTGTAACACACACACTAACACACTGTAACACACACACAGTAACACACTGTAACACACGCACTGTAACACACACACTAACACACTGTAACACACACCACACTAACACACTGTAACACACACACAGTAACACACTGTAACACACACACACGTAACACACTGTAACACACACACACAGTAACACACTGTAACACACACACACACTAACACACTGTAACACACACACACAGTAACACACTGTAACACACACACACTAACACACTGTAACACACACACTAACACACTGTAACACACACACACTACACACTGTAACACACACACAGTAACACACTGTAACACACACACAGTAACACACTGTAACACACGCACACTAACACACTGTAACACACACACTGTAACACACACACACTAACACACTGTAACACACACACACTGTAACACACACACTGTAACACACACACACACTAACACACTGTAACACACACACACTAACACACTGTAACACACACACTGTAACACACTGTAACACACACACACTAACACACTGTAACACACGCACACAGTAACACACTGTAACACACGCACACAGTAACACACTGTAACACACGCACACAGTAACACACTGTAACACACGCACACTAACACACTGTAACACACACACTGTAACACACGCACACTAACACACTGTAACACACACACTGTAACACACGCACACTAACACACTGTAACACATGCACACTAACACACTGTAACACACGCACACTAACACACTGTAACACACACACTGTAACACACGCACACTAACACACTGTAACACACTGTAACACACACGCACACTAACACACTGTAACACATACACACTAACACACTGTAACACACACACTGTAACACACGCACACTAACACACTGTAACACACACTGTAACACACGCACACTAACACACTGTAACACACACACTGTAACACACGCACACTAACACACTGTAACACACAC